GCGTCGTCCAGTCGGCTTCCTTCGACGTCGAGCAGGTCGTGCAGTCCCTCGCGCAGCTGCGCGCGTCCTCGCCCGATGCACCACCGCCACCGGCACCTCCAGCGCCCCTCGAAGAACGGGTCGCACGCGCGATCCGCCCCGCCCTCGGCGACCTCGCGGCTTACGCCGACGCCGCTGTCCGCAGCGAGCTCGCCAAGACGGTCGACCAGATTGTGGACGACCTTCGGCCCCTGACCGGCGGCGGCCGCGTCGAGGACTCCACCCTCCGCACCAAACTCGACGCCATCGCCAAGGACGCGCCCATCTCGTCTGACCTCGAGGATGTGCTAAACGCTGTTGCAGAGTCCCTCGTCGCGCAGTCGACTCTTCTCTATGGTCGTCTGGTCGCTGCGGCTGGTGATGCCCTTGCCGAGGCTCTGCTCCCAAATGTGGACAAGACAGCCAAGATGGATGGCGAAGAAGACAACGAGCAGGCGACGCCCGTCGCAACTGCTGATACATTCCCTGCCGACGCGCTGCTCCCAAATGTGGATACGGCGATGGCCGAGCTGGGTGGCGAAGAAGAAGCGTCACTTCTCCAGTGGTCGGAACCTAACCTATACGCTCTTAGCAAGATTCCGGACCCAACAAACACGACAATAGCTCAATTGAGGCCGTTAATTGATGCCAAGGTGGCACTTGCTGGCAACGTTGACGAAATTTGGAGAAGTCTTATCGCCCAAAGCGTGGTCTGTTGCTTCTTCAAACACGCGATGCGGTTCTTTAACCAAAACGAGGATACCATGAACAGAGATTATTTCGAATTATGGTCAGATCGGTTTATGACCCAGCAGCAGCAGACAGAAGCGTTGGGCGATGAACTTGTGACGCTGTTTAGATCAGGCACTGTCTTGTATTTCGATCGACTGGGCGAGGCAACGGGCTACTACAAAGTGACGTTCCTTCGTGATGTGGAATGCTATGTCACTGGAAGAGTGTTGTTTGTGGAAAATGTGCTGAACGAACAGACTGCCAACTACAATGTTGAAAGCATGGATTGTCCATCTGAAGATTGTTCGTCAGAGCACAACTGTGTTCTCCTTTATGATGGAACGGAGATCGCTGCTCTTGATTATTGTTGGGATCCTGCTTCCGCCGTTCGTGACTATGTTATGCGTCTGAGTCAGGCGGTGGGTGTTACTCGCGGTTCACTAGAAAAGACTGTGAGAGAAAAGTATGTCGAGAGCATTGAATTTGGGTATTAGCTCCAGGTGCAGTTCCACTGATCCCGCCTGTCCCATTTGAGCAACCTCCTTCGGAGCATTTTTTTTTTTTTTTCCCCTCCTCTTTTGTCCTTGGCAAAAAGAAAAAAACAGTGCCGCGAGTTGGCGGAACAGGAAGACTCTTCGGAAATGGGGAGACAAGCGTGGCGCCAGTGTTTGTGTGCTCAGCCCAGCCCGCACACTTGCATCCGCACACAGCACACTACAACTGTACTTCCAATATTAAAACAGCAAAGAACCTTTTCACCGCGCCCCATCCTCCAAGCCATGCTCCCCTTCAGCTGTCTCCTCGCCCTCCTCGGCGCCTTGCTCGTCCTCACCCTCGCCCCCTCTCCCGCCACGGCCCTTCCCAAAAACGACCGCTTCGTCTACCACAGCCTCCCCACCGCCGACGCGCGCGCCAAGGTGCAAAGCGGCGGCGGCATCGACGCCTCCGACAAGACGGCCAAACTGAACCCGGCGCAGCACCATCTCGGCCAAATGCCGTCGCAGTACGTCAACACGAACCCCTACAAGGTCGCGCAGGAGCTCAACAGGCAGTCCGGGCGGCACGGGGTTGTGATGATCGACACGACCAAGGTGCCCAACTACAAGGACCACGTGGATTTGCGACAGTACGCGAAGAAGAACAAGGACAAGTTTACGGGAGCGATGGAGAACGACGTGATGAAGGAGAAGGCGAAGCTGATTCCGCAGCATGTGCCGGCCGAGGCGTGCACGCTGCTGTCCAGGCGGGGCGTTGGGGAGGGTGGAGGGCTGTTTAGGCGCGCCGGCGGGTCGTGCAAGAAAGAAGGAGGGGTCAAGGGAAATGGTGGTAGTAAGGTGGCGGCGGCAAAGGGCGCGCCTGCTGCGAAGAAGGCGACGGCAGCCGCTGGTTCGTCTCCCAAGGCGTCCAGCGGCAAGACGAAGAAGTGATTTGGGTTCTTGTGCGAATTCTCTCCGACTTTCTCGGTTTCCGCCCTACACACAACCTTGATGGGTTCTTTTCTCGCGGTTTTCCCTCAAACAGAATATATCGTTCACATTTCAAATACTGGAGGCCAGAAGTTATCGCCGAATTATGGCAAAATAAATCCGTGACGAGTTGATACGCAGTGCATCGACAACCTTTTAGGAAGACAGGCCTTGCTGGCGCCACTGATACGCGCTGTCGTTCGTTCCGCTGAAGTAACACCCAACCTCGCCGGGTCATTTGGCACAGACTTACACAGGGAACAGAGGAGAACAAAAATTCCTAGTCCGCCGACGTTCGGTCCAGCTCAAATAAAAAGGTGTATGTGCTCAGCCAAGAGTAACACTTCGATTTTTTTTTTTTTTTTGATATTTACTCGCAAAAGCTTCTTTACCATGAAAAACGAGAAAGAGGAGTCAAAGCACGCAGCTCCGCACCAGTCCGGCAAACGTGCTCGGTGGCAGTAACAGTCAGTCGGCCGGCTGGCTCACCGCTTTGCACGTTTGGGCGATGCTTTTGGCGTCTTAGCCGCGGCCGCCGTTGGTACCGTCGACGCCTTCCCCTTTGCTGCTCCCGGTGCTGATTGTTGTGGGCGCGCCGCACCAGGTTTGCCACCCTTTCCTCCCGAGCAAGATTTCGACCCCTTGCCACGCCGGTACAGCAAAAGCTCCCCCACCGACTCGCCAGGGCCGCCGCCGCCGTCCCTCCTCTCCAAAAACAAGCTGCACGCCTCCTGCGGAATCTCGTGCTTGATCAGCACCTCCTGCTCGATCCTCGACACCTTTTCAAAGCCCGTATTCTTCTGGTGCCGCTTCTTCATGTACTTGTGCATGTCGATGCTGTTCTTCTTGAACGCGGGCACTTTTGCCGTGTCGATCTTGAGGATGCCGTGGCCCTCTTCCTCGTTGTAGACTTTCGCGACGACCGGCGCCTTGCTCGTCGAGATGAACTGCGTCGCGAGGTCGCCCATCTGATGGTCTTCGGGCGTGTAGGTGGCGGACTTGTCCGCGGCGTGGAGGCCGCGGCCGGTTTCAAAGTTGGTCTTGTCGGCGGATGTCATGGCGCGGTAGAGCGTTTTGGGTTTGGATTGGGCTAGGCCGGGCGAGGCGGCGACGAGGTGGCGATGGTGGTGCGGGAAGAGGGAGATACTGAGGAGGCTGACGCTGAGGACTCTGAAAAGGAGGAGGACGGGAAGGTGGGGTCGGAGCATGGCTGGCTGGCTGCAGGCCAGTTGACGCAAGCGAGTTTGATTGGGGAAGATTGGGCAAATTTATTACAAAGCGGGCTGAACACTCGTACGCGTTTTCCAAGTGACTTTACTTTTGTACCCGGAGACACTCGGGGTTGGGCTCCGATTTCGTCCTTGCAATTCTGCATTTATTTCTTCAAAAGTCTTCTTCAGTCGAGACCGCAGTAACGTCCTCGCTCTCCAGAGATGGTCAAGTCTGTACTCAACGCAAGGTCCATTATGTCGCAGCCACCATCTGACGTAACGCTCTGGGACGACATCGCTTCTGAGAGTTGGGGAGAATTTGAAAACGGTTTGTGGCTGTTGCTAAATGATCCAGCTGGGGCTCATCACAACTTGTGCTACAATGTAAGTTCATGTTTCTAGAACAGGCTTTACGCTAGAAGTACAAGCCGCGATATCCCACACCCTCCGCCGGCGCCTGGGTCTGCTGGTCTCGCGGACCTGAGCCGCGTCGGTGGACAAGGTGCGGCGCCTGCTGCAGGCAAGCAAGCGTTAGCGGCGGCGAGGCCCCTCGTTTTCGAATCCTTACCCCGCGATGCTTCTTACCATTTGCTCGTTTTTGTTCTTTCGGGACTGTTTGGCGCCAGCCGATTTTCACGAATTTTTTGTTTTCACTAATTGAAAAAAGTTGACCGACATGTGTTTCGCAAACTTGTGGAGGTGGGCGTTTGGCTGTCCACAAGCAACTTTGTTGTTCCCTTTTTTGTGGTGCGGCCTGTTTGGTGGCCAAAAAACCCATGAAAAAAATAGTTTTCGCTACTATGAAAACCTGTGAAAACGCAAAACAGCCTCTCCCCTGTTTTTCGTTTCCGGAAGTTGGACTTCGACAAAAAATGGGCAAATCAGGCAAACCCTCCAAGTCAAAGAAGTCAAAGAAGAAGAGCAGCAGCTCGCACACCCAGAAGCGCCTACGAGTCAACCCACCGAAGGCAGCGCAGGCCGAGGAAAATGGAGGGCGAGCAGCTGTTGGGATCCCTGAGGCCTCATCAGTTGAACATCATCAGCTGCAAGCAGCACCACAGCCTCAAGAGATTGCTCCCAAAGCCTCAGCAGCAGCAGTGAAGAGTGCAGCAGCAGCTCCGACAGTGACTCCAACATTGTCTGAACAATGATGAGTGCGTCATGGCAGTTCGAAGCCTCAATACCCTTGCTGATGAGGACCCAGCCACTGTTGACCAAAATCTGCTTCTTAGCGGTTCTATTTTACTTATGGGTGTAAATGCTTGTAAAGCCCGCCTCTTCAACAATATTCACCATTGTGAGGACGACAGGCTGTCGAGCCTGTGACCTCAAATAAATTAAGTGTATACCCACTTTTTAACTGGTAATTGTGAGGATTACCACCCTGTCTCGACCTGCGTTTTGCTGGCAAAACGTGACTAGGCTTGGATTCCTACTCTCTTATTATTTATTGGGTTTCCATACAGCCTCTGACTGGCTCCGTATGTCTGCCTCTGAGCTCTACTATTATTATTTATTATTGGCGATGTTGCAGACAGAAAGACTCAGTCTTGATTCCAATTGCTGATACAAGGCTCCCTTGCTCAGTGGTTAGAGTGCTCCCTTCAATTGGGAAGGTGCCAAGTTCGAGACATGTCAGGAACATGGCAGGACAGGACAAGGCAGACATGGAACTGAGAGGAGTGATGATTGTATTGGAGACAATAATTCACTTGAGGGATGGGACAGGTCCCCCATCCCCCTTTTATACCTTTTGAGAGTGTTCCTTGTCAAGACTCAAAGAAAGTTCCAGAAAGAGCAATTAGTAATACAATGATACCAATGATACCAATGACAACAAGACAAGTCAGGAAAGCAAAGAAGGTTCCAGAAGGTTCCACAAGGTTCCATGAAGGAATGTTCTAGAAGGTTCCAGAAGGTTCCAGAAGGTTCCATGAAGGAATGTTCTAGAATGTTCCAGAGGTTTCCAGAGGGTGATTCATAACAAGACATGCTAGTTGACAGACTGGGCAGAAATGCAAAGTCCTACTATGCCTGGCCAATGGCCCCTCACTTTTGGAAATGACTTAGGACTGAAACACTTCTGTGGGAGAAGTGCTAAGCCCAGATGGACAGAGTTAACAAGATGATGGCAGAGCTAACAAGCCCTACCACCTGCTACCATGATGTAATACCTCATAAAAGGGTATGAGATCACAGGGTTTTTCTTTATCTTTTCATTGGTGATTTTTACTTATTTTTCCAATTAGTAATTTATCCTGTTTTTCCTGTTTTTCCTGTTTTCTCTTTTATTTATTCCTTGTTGTCTCTGTCTGTGTCTTTTCTTTCTTGTGTGGCTGAGAGTGACTGTCTTCCTCTTTGCACCAACCAGCTCTCTCCATCTCCTCCATCTTTCTTGGCAGCTGATGCCAAGAAATGCTCCATGATTTTCTGAGCTGTCTTCCTTGTTTGATGGCTCAGCCCCATTGTTTGGTGACTCACTCCTCCTCTCTCTTCTTTGCTGTTTTATTTATTGTTTTGTTCTTTTGTATATGTTTTCCCCTCTTTTCCCTTCCTTCTTCCTTCACCCTGCTGATTCCAACCCTTTCCTATTTAAGCAGCTGCCCCCCATCTCGTTGACTGTGAGAACCTGTGCCTGAAGTCCCTTGCCTGCCCTTTTCTTCCTGACTGTATGTAGAGCTGGGGGTGGCAGTCCCCTGGTGTGTGACAGGAGGTTGAAGTCCTCTTGGCCATGATGGCAGTGTGCTGGGTTCAAGCCCCAGTGCACCTCACCAATTCTGCATGCTGCTTAGGTTGGACTGGGTAGGAGCCACTTGGTGATGGAAGGATGGAGGGTAAATCTGTGGTGGTGCCTCTAGGTTCCTGTCAATACATCTAGTCAAATCCAGGTCTCTCAAGGGGATATGAATGAGCTGTCTGGTCAGGTACTGCTGCAGGAATGGTCTCTCAGGTATGCCCCCTCCTCACTGGTTGTTGGCTCCTGTGGCCTCTGGTGGGCCTGGTCTTCACTGGGTTCAGACCCTCTTTCTCTCAGATTAATGCCTGTGATGTCATGGTGCCACATTTCGGTTAGGGAGTGGGTGTTAACCTTCCTTGCTTCTAAGATAGGGAATTCCTCTGGCTTGGTGAAGCAGATGTCTGTGTCCTAGTAGGATGAAGTAAGAAGAGTCCCACTGTCTCCCACCCTTGTGTGCCCCCTCCTTGGATTGAGTTGGAACTTCTCTTCGGAGTGAGACAAGTTGTGTCTGGTTCTGTTAAGTGGAAAACAGTTCTGATTTAATTCAACAGACACCTCTGCACACTAACTGTTCCTTGTGTTTGCCCTCTGTGTCCAACCCCCTCCAACTTAGGGCTTGTCTTTGACAGAGAGGGAGCCTTGCTCCATGGTGGTGGCTCCAACAGACCGGGGTCTGGCCACTTTCCTCCCCACTCTCTTGTCTTCTTCAGTTGGATTGGAGTGCTGCACTTAGTGCCGCTCCCTGGAGCTTGCTGCATCTTGCACCTCCAGCATTGTTACCGGATTTCCCGGTCCCCTTTGGCTTTGGCTTTTGCCTCCCATTGGGCCCACTCTGTGTCATGGACCAGAGAACCCTGCACATTCTTTGCTGGTGTGCCACCTTTTCACAGTTGCCTTTGGTCTGAGTGTGAGAGTCTTCTCTTTGTGTGTAATAAGAGAGTTTCTTTGTGTTTCTTGGGCTTCTTAAGACTCCAAATACATTGTCCTGTCTAGTGACCCCTAGACATCTCCTTTTTGCCCTTTTTCACTCTTCAGGATTGGTATTTAGGCCATTGCTCTATTTGCCACCCATAGCCCAGGGTGAGGATTTAGAGAGCACAGTCTCACACCATTCTATTCGCCTTACATGGCTGTTGAGCGAGCTCAACCAGTCAGCTAATTAGTGTCTAGACACCCAATGGCCCAAAAATATCAAATAAACCCGAGTTTTCATTGAGACATCAGCTCCCGTCTGTCAATCAGACGATGGCTTTTTCGCGTGTTTGATAGTCCTCCCACATCTTCTCTGCGAGCTTGTCCCGAAATTCAGCAGCCTCACAGTACCTGGCTAAATAACCGGTTCTAGCTTCCTCATTTGCGGCTGCTGCCTCACAAGCACGCTGCTCACGACGTCAGTTCTGTTTTTGTTGCAATTCCTCCTGCACCTGACGATCGCAGAACTCAGCCAAATATTCTGCAATATTGTCATCATCTTCTCTCGGCCGATTGATTGTTATGACATTGTGTAGGGCGCACATAACAGTAACCAAGAGAACTTGGACTTTCTCAAAATCGTACTGAGGTGGCAACTGCAAAATTCGAAAGCGGCCCTTCAGTATGCAGATAGCTCGCTCAATGGTATTCTGTAGCTGCGAGTGCCGAAGGTTGAAAAGCTCCTTTGGATCATCTGGTCTACGAAAGCCCAGACTTAATAAAGAAAGTACAACATGAAGCAACTACTCACTCAACATTTGCTGATCCCCATTCCTTCAAGTGGTAGCGGACACCCCGATATGGAACAAGTGCATCCATTGACAGTGGATAGCCAGCATCTGCTAGAAAGAATTTACCTGGCACAGACGGAAACAACACAGATTCCCGCGCCTTCCGGAGCACTGTTGTGTCAGCAGCACTTCCTTTGTACCCTGGGAAAACAAACTGAAACAAGCAGCTGTCCAGTGTACATGCCAACAGGACATTCTGGCTCAAAAATCCTTCCGATTTCGAAATGGGCCGTGTGTAGTGGTTGGTACGTGTGCAGGAATGTGCGTGCCATCAATTGCTCCAATACAGTCCTTTAAGTAGGGGAAGAATCGCCGATCACGTTTCCTCTCTTGCAGGAACTCGATCTCTTCGGAAGGTGGTTGAATAACCATTGGAAGCATTGCAAACCTTCTGCACGATCGGAGAACCTCATGGAAATATCGATGGACTGTCTCTCCAGAATGCTGGAAAGTCTCCTGGGCATCACGACTTGACTTGCCACCTCCAGTCGTCGTTGTTGCCAGCAATTTTTTTTTTTACCAAAACAGCTCTGCAACAACTGGCACCTGTGGAAAAATTTCTGGCGCTTCTGTGAAAAACCGTCCCGCAGCCAAACGGGCCCGTTATCAAGCAAAATTCATTATTGCCTCAAACATACATTGCCTGCCACTGCCCGTCACTTCAACGTCGCATCCTCGCAGGAACATCAAAGACAGTAACCCCTTATTATTATTTCCTCCGTTGAGGACCCAGGCGCACACAACACACACACAGACAAAAAAAAAGCAGGGGGTGACAAGGTTTCGAGAGGCGCGGGGGTGGCGAGGAAACTGGGCTTTTCCTTTTTTGGACAGACAAAAAAATCAGTTGTCTGTCTTGTCTGTCTGTCTGTCTGTCTGACTGTCTGTCCGTCTCTCGATCACCTTCAAATTACAACAACAACAACGAAGCAAAATAAAAAACCATAAAAAAAAAATAAAAAAAAAAAAGAAACATGTTTGGTAGTGGCGCCCCAACTCTCGTCAGGATCCGCCTGCCCTACAGCGACCTCGACCCGCTCCACTCGTACGCGGACCGCCCGCAGCAGCCCGCCGCAGACGCCGACCTCGAGCGCGCGTTCCTGCTGGCGCGCCCGGACCTGTGCGCCCGCGCCCTGGCAACCGCCCGCCGCGGACACCTGCTCGACCCCGACTCGCACGACGCAGCCGACCGCTGCCACGACAACGAGGACGCCGCCGCCACCGCCGCCTCCGCCGTCGCGCCCCTCGTGTTCCGCGACACGGCCGCCGCAGTCCCGCGCAAGACCGCCTTCGCCGCGGGCGCCGCCGCGCCGCTGCTCGCGCCGTCTTACACCGTCCTTCCCTCTCCTCCAACCCCTGCCGGCGGCGTCGCTGTCGCCAGCGTGCCACTATCCTCCACCGCCGTCCTCGAGCTCGTCGCTCCAGGCGGCGGCGCAGGGGTCCCCGCCGCGTACACGCTGATCCGCGGCGCGAACGGGTCCCCCGCGGGATGGGCGATCGCCGGGTCCGTGCGGGTGCGGAACGCAGCGGGCCGGCACAAGGCGGTGCGGGTCGCCGAGGTGCGCGTCGAGCTGGCGGTCCAGTACGCTGGGTTGCAGGTAGTCGACGGCGGCCGCAAGACGGCGGCGTTCCGACACCGGCTTTTTGACGCCCCGCCCGTGGTGGTGGTGCCCGGCGAAATGGTGAGTGGGGTTGGTTTCTATCGACGAGGGGGCGTTCGGGCTTCAGAGACATGTGTGTCACGCTTGCACACTCACTTCCACACAACGCAACACACTCACTTGCTCACTCACACACACACACACACACACACACACACACACACACACACCCATTCTCTCTCTCGCAAAGGCCGCGAACGCAACTTTCGAGGCAGCATTCCGCTTCCCGTTCCCGAATGCGGGCCCTCCGGCGCTGGACCTGACTGCGTCGATGGGCCATCCGACGGCCGCGGTCGTCAGCTACGTCCTCACCGCGACCGCGACGGTTGCCGCGTCTTCGCCGTTTGGCAAGGCGCAGGCGTGCACCGTGTCGTACAAAGTCCCCGTGGGCCCGCCGTCCGGTTTGGCGAAAGTTTCGCCAAAGTCGGCGTCGTCGTCGTCCCCGCTGCCTCTGCGGTGCAGCAGCGGCGCCGACGTTGCGGG